TCTATCTATCTATCTATCTATCTATCTATCTATCTATCTATCTATCTCCAGGTGCACTAAACAGTTTATAACTTTTGTGCATATTAAAGTCAGCCATAGTTTATTTAGCAGCCATCTATTTGAGAAGCAATATTATTTTATTATCATGTTGTAAGTGTACTTACAGCAAACACTGCAATGCACAAAAACTGTATTTTTTCTTGTGCTTCCCCCTGAGATAGTCTGAGAGACCGGATCCCTGATTGGCCTGTGACAAAATCAGATTAGGAGCTGATCAGCCCGGTGTCATTTCCCCTCCTGTCTCAACCATATCTCACTGCATCTGATTTAAAACCCTGCTTTGACGATGATGGTTAGCAGGGCAGGAAGCAAGCGGTTCCAAACAAAGAAAAATCCCAAACTTTCGATTTTTCGATTTTCCACACTGAAGTGACAATGTGGGGTTAATGGTCAACGAGCCCTGAAATACATGTGAAAACGGGCACTTTGCAGATGCAGAACTTTTATACTATAGTGTAGTCAACTTTACTAAACCTCATTATTCTGAAATAGATTGTCAGAGGATATTAGATTTAGCATGTGATGTTGTAGATGAAAGAGGGGAGAACCACAAGTTTGTCTAAACCACCACATGTAAGCATAACGCGCATTAACGTGGAGAGAAATGTCAGTTGAAATCTTTTTGGAGCTTTTCTCCAACTTTTGTGACCCATAAAAAAAAGAAAAAAGAAACAATCAAATCTTTATCAACTGCTCAATCGCACATCACGAGCAGAAACACATTAACAGGGAATGTGTGTCTTCTCCCAACAGATCATTATGTTGTTATCAACCTGCGTCAGGATGACAAAGTAATTGGTACCAAGGAGACCAAAGGAGCCAGTGGACCAAACCCAATCTGGAACGCTCCATTTCTGTTTGACCTGCCCCCTGGTGACATCACTCAGCTGCCTCTGGCTCTGGAGTTCATTGTTATGCAGGTAGAAATTTCCCCCAAACTTTCTTGTACTGTTCTGAGCTCTCTGACATCTACTTTCTACTTTTCTCCTTACTTGCAGGGTCGTCTCTACAATAAGAGCAGTATTCTGGGTCGGGTGCTGATTGGCAGCCACTCCTCAGAGGCAGGAAGAGAGCACTGGATGGAAATGTGCAGTCTGGGGCAAATGGAAAGCACTCGCTGGCACACAGTTCAGTCAGCTGCAGCGTAGAATGGATTATGTATTCAAATTCTCCATGTGTATCTGTACAGGACCCAGGGTAGAACAGGTGTTGGAAGTTGTTAATCTGTACTTAGGCATCATATCAACAGTACTCTGCATCCCTGCATTGCCCATGTGATCATTTGCACTGTGAGTCTGTAAAACTGCGTTCAGTGGAACTGTGCTCCTCTTAGATGTACTGTTTAAAAATTGTGTTGAAGTTTTGTAGAACTGAATGCATTTCTTAAGTGTGAAAAAAAATTGAGGAAGAATAACCTTTACATTATGTTACTTCTCTGACTGGTTTGATGTGGTGTTAATGTGTGCAAGTTTTTGTCGTTAAATATGAAAGGTATCTCAATCCTGACTTTTTTCTGAAATGCAGCACCACACAGGTGAAGGATCAAATGGAACGAATGGTTTACAAGTGTTAATAATATATGCAAGGGAGTTGGAGACACCCCCTTACATTCTATTGTTCTATTTAACTTATCTTGAGTATGTTTCCGGTTTGCTTTTAACCTCTCTCTCCCTCTCTGAGGTGGCTTGGACATCATTAGTCAGGAAGGCACACCCATGACGAGGCTGATTAGGGCCTGGTGTGTCTAATTGGTTGGCTGGCACTCACCAAGTGGCCTGAGGAGAGAGGGGGGAGATTGGTTAAAGAAGTTTGTTAGTTTTTTGTTTTAGTTTTATTATTGTTGGTTATTTTTGTAAAAGTTGAAGGAATTATGCCAATGGGTGTGTTGAGTGTGTCTACAATTAATGTATATTAGATATTTAAGGGGTTTGATTGTAGTAGATGTACTCCTATGGTCTGCACTGGATGGGCATGTCCCATAGTTTTATATACTTGAAGGAGAGGAGAAGAAAGAGAGTGCACTGTCTGTTGCATTAAAAAAAAGTGTGAGTAAACTAAAAGTGAGCTCAAACAATATTGTGGTCCTGTGTTCTGTCTGGTTGATAGTACACCTTAATGGATGATGCCATTGGACATCCCATAAGGTAGGTTTTTATATACACACATTCATTGATGAGTATATGGAAAGTTAGTTTTTATACTAATATACTTTTATTTAACTTTTAATCTTTCACATGGTGTTGTTCTGCATGTACTGGCTATATTCAATTGTTTTACGATATCAAATCTTAACGTGTCACACCATTTGATTGTGGTATTTTCAAGAACAGTAAAAAAATACGATATCTAAAAATTCAACACTGGATTTCATTTGCGACTTCCTGTCTCTTTCTGTGATTGCTTACAAAAGGTTTTTCATTCTTTAAAAAAGCCAAACGACTTTAGTGTGACCATAGAAAATGGAGAAATAGAAATGCATGAATCCTCTGTGGACAAATGATCATTTCAATAATTATTTATCCAAATGAATGATCCCAACATCTCTGCAGTAAATTAATCTCCGAGTGAAAGAAGCTCTACGTAGTTCTGCCTCTGGGTAATATATTGGAAGGGAACATACAGTAAATCATCACATTGTACAGAAAGTTGTTTATTTCTTTTTCACTTTATGAGAGAATGAATAGGCACAAAGTGTTAATTGCTGCCCACTCTGGAATATGTCCAGAGTTATGTAAATTAACTTTAGACACATTGATAACCATCACTGTGATTTCATGGGAATCAGGTGACGCATTCTGCTTCACAAGCTTGAGGATATTGCGAGAGTGGGTGACTCAACTAATGGTTTCATTTCACAGCTATTATATACAGTCAAAGGGTGGTCTTGTTGATGTCCTCAAAGGATTTTGTCAATATATCGGATTCAACATTTTTCGTCGATGATGATGCAGAATCATCATCTATTAGTTTCGGTCCACAGAACCCAAATATATTCCAGATGTGCTTGACAGTTACAGTTTGCAACGTCACTGAAATTATCTGTTTTTTTAAAATGTTGAATCATGTGCAAACAAGTTTGACCATATTCTGCTCCCTCGGCTAAACTGTGTGTGGCCTTTAACACAAATTAGAACCTTAAAAAAAAATCTAACTGCATTTAGGAAGAAATGTACACGACGTATGTTGCATTGTACTCAAGATGCCACTTCTGAGCCATGAATTGAGCTGATTTATTTATTCTTTATATATATATATATATATATATATATATATATATATATATATATAT